ACTGCCACTATTTCTCAGATCAGGCCAGGAGTCTTAGCTATCGCTAGGATCGCTCTCTCATTGGTTGAGACAGATTAATTTTTATTCGACAACCAATTTGCAATAATATATTTTATTTATAGATTCATATTTTATGAAATTTTATTTTTAAAAAACTTATATAACCTAGAAAATTAGACTAAATAAATGCTTTTTTATTTTTCAAATTGCCAATACTCCAGTTAATTTTAGTAAGTAAAAAGTATCAATATTTTGACTAATCAAATTTATGATATCCACATCCAATAATGATGACTCTTTTAACATTATTTTCAATTGGCGATTGTCAAACATTAATTACCTAGGATTTGCTCATTTTTTCTAATGGAAAGCTATTCTTAATACTTTGTGCTAAAGATAAAAAGATTTTATACAAAATTTGGTTTCTATATTTATTATTAAAAATCAAAATAATAAATGGGAAATTCTAGGTTTCTTTTAAAATTTTCCTTTCAAACCAATTGACATTTTTTTAATTTATTTTAAAAGCGTCATCAAGGATTTTAAATTTATTTTCACTTTTTATGCTCAGTCCAAATCGTTAAATCTTTAATCCTAGTCTGGATTTTTAAAAAAATCTTACCATTTTTTAGTTCCGGACTGCGCCTGCAGTTCTTTAATTTTATGCTTTTTTGGTAGAAATTCATAAAAAATGCAGTTATGAACCATACTGATAATTCATCATCTTATGTGGTGCGTTGATTAAAAATTTGGGGAAAGGTTCTAAATCGATAAAACAAAAATTTTAAAAAATTGGGAATCTCGTTTATATCTCCTAGAAAATTTTAATATTAATAGATTACTTAATCAAAACAAACACAAATTATTCCTTCTATAATTAGTAAATTTTTGGAAATTTTTCACTACAAAACTAAAATAAAATGTTTCAATTGAGACTATGAGAATAACCGAAAGCATTACATTGGAACTAAAGGAAATTAGAGCAACAAATTTCATAAATTGTGTCATTCTCGAGAAAGCAGAGCTCTATAAATTTAATATTTATCTACCTCGACTCGCAGCAAGACAAGCCTATATATAGGGTAAAAACAAAGAATATAATAGAAAACAACTTTTAAACTCCCACTTGGATACTTTTATAACTAAAATGAATGAAGGATTCTTAATTAAAAGGCAGCACTTACAAATCTGCAAATATTACTACCATCGAACCCTTCCGAATTTATTTCAAATCTTATTAAAGAAAAATTAAATATTTGGCAGATTTTTATAGTGAGGATATTAAAGTATCTCAAGATGCATAACTGAATGCAAATTATAAAAGGTTAAATAATATTGATAATGTTCCAAAAAATGCTATAGATGCTTCGCATCAAACACATTTAAGATTTAAGACTATTTTTCTAATTTATAAAAATTATTATATATTTTTCTACCAATAAAAGAACATTTCCTTCTTTAAGAATATAAACATACCTGAAAAGTTGTTAAATGAATCGATTTGAACCGATTTTTAAAAACCAGAAATATATTGCCTAAGGAGATTTCGCCAATAGATGTCCAAATTAGAGATATGCAACAACTCGTTATTTTAAAATTTTTTAATCCCCCCCCCCCCGACCGCTAATTGTTTTAAAGAATTTACACGCACTATTTAATTGGCCCGCCTAATGTTTAAAAATTATTATAATGGCTAGTTTGGCTCTTTATTTATTTGTTTTAATGTATTTTTAATTAAACAAATATAATATGCAATATTATGAAATAAAATGATTATTTTTAATAAATTGAAATCTGTTCTGCTCACTTCACCTGAAAAATATTATAAATTCACCCGTCCACCCCCGCTTTAGAGAGATTTTTAACCCTCCCGTCACAGGCTTAATGTTGAAAATATTTGAAAACTCGACCACGCTCTCCTAAAGTATGGGTGGCGGGTTACCTCTAGTCTAAAATTTTGGCCATCTATGAAAAATCTTCATTAATTAAATAAAGTTTTCTCATAATATATTTCTTTTCCAATTTTATTCTCTTAATTTAAATTATACAGTTTAAAGACAAGTTTATCACCCAAAAAAAAATGTAAATTGCAATATCAAAATAACTGGAATTCCATTTATTCATGGGTAAGAGCATATAAAGAATGTAGCTTTAATGCAATTTTTATAATATGCAATATAAATTTTAATATCAGCCATAGAGTAGTCTATGATGTAAAAAAAAACATTCAACAAGGCAAAAACATCAATTTAAAATAAGGAATAATCAAATAATATCCAACCATACTTCAAAAACAATAATTTATATGATGTTATTACTGTATTCATATAAATAAAGAAATAATCACCGGGGAAAAAAAATTAATATTTGTTATAAATTTTTTTTTGAATTATAGTTAAATTCTACCGCTTTTTGTTTGAATGAATATTAGCGAAATCTTGAGGTTTATGCAATTCTGGCTAAATTATTGAGTTGGCCTTTTTTAAAAATTGTCTCAAATCGAGTCGTATAAGAACACTAATTATTAGATACACCTTGCATGAATATTTAGGAAATTTTGCAATAATTCTTAATATTTTTGGGCATTAGTCTATATTTCCAATATATTTTTTTTAATATATAATTTAAATTTATATATCAAATTTTATATGCTTAAAAAATATATCCTTTTTTATAATGTCCTTTTTCGAGACATTTATTTTATAATGATTCATATACCGATTATACACATTTATTTTAAAATTAATTTATATTTGAATTTGCGTATTAGAAATTGCCGATATTTTATAGTCACTGGTAGTGTTGTTAAATGGCTCGATTTGAGCCGATTATTTAAAATGTCTAACTCAAGATTTTAGCCACAAAAATATGGCCAAAGTCTTGAGATTTACCTAATTGATGAATTTATGTATTCGTTGTTTTTTCTTAGGCCCTTTTTTGAAAATAGATTAGTAATTTGGGTGCTTTATTTTCTTTCGATAAGATTGTATAAAATTTTTACATTTTTTTATAAAAAAATTCATATCCGTTTCTATTAGGTTTTATTTGAAGTTATTTTATAATTATTTTTTAATATTGATTTTGGCGGAAATCAGACCCATTTTTAAAAAATTGATTTTTGGGCCATACCCTGCCGGAAAAAAGTGAGGCGTACTCGAACTTGGGAAAAAAATCCAAAAATTTATTCGGACAAGGGCTCAAACTTGCGATAATAGGTTTGATGCAAGGCTCGGATTAATTAATTTTCGAGCTTATAATTATTCAGAAAAGAATTTGATTGGCCTTCATTTCAAAAGATGTATAGAAAAAAATGGATAGCGACTAAAATCTATAAGAACACGATTATATTATTTTTTTTTTACTTGCGCAGGAAACTTCGTCCTCTTGAAGGGTAAACGTTTCAGGACATATGCATTTAGTCGTGTCACCTTCCATTTCAGATTTGTAAGAACATTTTTTGGGAACCTCACTCAGTGCGCCCCTTTTCCTCGGAATGTCTTTCGATTCGCAAAGGCTTACTAAAATAATAATAAAAATTTGTTCAAGACAGAAACAAATGGATAATTAAAATATATACTTAAAATTAGGAAAACTATAATTTCCATGTAATACGATACGTTTAAAAAAGCACAAGAAATCATATATAAATGCATTATTTTAAAATATCATTAATACTATTTTTATAGAAAAATATAATTCTAAAAAATTTTTTAAATGAGCATCTTAGGTATTTATCAGATTATTTTTATATTATTTTCAATGTGAAGAATTCGGTATTTTAGTCTTTTATCAACATTATAAAATGGAAAATAAGTAAATTAAAATAATATATTTTTTTATTGTATTCTCATTAGGTCAATATAAAAATGAATACGGAATTACTTGTATTCCATTCTTTTGGACGTATTGAATAATTTCCTATTCGTAAATCGTAATAATTTTATTTGAATAATAATAGTATGTTTTACTATTATGCGAATACAAATAGTAAATTATTCGATTGGTTCAAAATAATCGAAAATTATTATTTGATTCGTATACAAATAGGCCCTAATTTTCATTTAAAATGGCATTTTATTATTATTTTAATGTTTAAAAAATTTTAGCATATATTTTATAAAGGAATTATAGGTTTGCGAAGTTGGCAAAACCGTTTTGGAAATTTTTAAACGCCCATTAATTGGTGTTTCAACCAGCATGCCAATAGAATCAACAGGAAGCTAAATTAATGATATCGGATGGCATATATTCTACCAAAGTTTTATTTACATCTGTACCCAATCGAAGTGTGATAAAAATAATTATATTTCCAAACTTAAAATAAGGAGATTGATTATATAGGGTTATCACAGCAATCCCGGAGTATTTTATCGAGACTCAAAACTCTCCGAAAAATGAATGATGAAAGAGGAAAAATACGAATTTCTTAATTAGTCATTTTATGACGAGATATATTTTTAAAAAATATTTATTTACGCGCCAGATTTAGAAAAATCAAACGATAATTATTATTTTTTATAAAAATCTAACATAAATTTTACTGGCTGTTATATAAGTATAACAAGTTCTCATGGCTTTTGATTAAAATATTTGGAGTATTTCAATTTTTTTACTAATTGAAACAGAGAAGTGCTTGCTCTACCCGGATGTGAATAAACCTAGTAAAAAGTAATTAACTTATCAAGAAGTTATATATATAATAATATTTATTAAAAGAAAATATAATATCATTTATTACATTTATATAACGCAAATTAAATAGTTTTAGACTAACACAATTATAAAAAATATATAAAACACATATAAATGCAACCATAAATATAATAATTTCTTAGATATTATATGATAAGCATAATCTTTGAAGGCATAAACACGACAAAGGTTGACATTTATTAATATCTAGAAAGAAAGCAAAGTTCATTTTTCACAACATAAAAGAAAATTGATTTTATTGGCCATAATTTTCTATCACATTGATAAAAAATTAAAATATAAATAAATATTGCGATTGAATATGAACGGAAAGAACACAATAAAGAATAATAATTATATAATATATTTTTTTTAATTTATCGATGACAAGTTGTTATTATATTCTTTTTGATTGATATTAAACGTTTTATAAAAAATAGATGTTGATTGTTAAGTAATGAAGTTCGCCCAAAAAATAGAAATTTCCCATAATATAAATATATTTTAAAGTAAGTAAATATAAATAATTTGACTCGAAAAAAATTGCATATACTTTAAATTACGGCGATATTTTTAATTTTGTGATTTTTTTAATAAAAATATTTTATTATATAAAAATAAGATAATAAAAGGACGAGATTATCATATAAACTAAAATGTTATTGTAGCAAAGGCAACGCGAAAATAGGTACACTGGTAAAATCGGAGTCTTTAGAGGATCGAACGTTTTTAGGTCTCGATACGGATTTGGTCACATTATCCTCGAATGTCACTAAATTATTATCATCAATAATGCCACGTTCGTTGATGTTATTGTTCTGGCAAGATGTATCTAAACAAATATTTTTTCCACCTAATTTTGGCCGTGCCGATTTTTCTTGTTCGAATCTGTTATTCCAGATCCCCATTATGTTTTTATTAGTAATTCCAATGACGGGACACGACATACGGGTTGTGTACTGATTTTGGCACAATGGTCTTTTCTCCTCCGCCAAAGATTCGCTATCTTTATCGATAGGGGTCAAATCATCGATTAAAGAGTTAGCTTGATAATAGTTGAAGTAAGAGGAACGCATGTGTCTACTCCTCCAATTAGGATGAGAACACTTGTAAAGAACCAAGACAAAACCGGAAGTCAGAATGATCACGAGAGCCAAAAAGGAACCTTTTTTTGTGCAAATTTAGATTAAAATATAAATTATTAACAGTTTTATAAAAAATCTATTAATTATCCGTTTAATTAGGTGTATAATAATATAATGAAATTATTTAAGTAATTGTTATCAAATCATAAGTTTCCCAAAAATATTTAAACCATATTTTGAATAGCTATGGTTATTATAATAAAAACTATTTATCAATCCAGTAATCAAGTAAAACAAATTATCTTTAAAAATTGCCCGGTCAATTCAAGTGATCCACTGCCGGCTAAAATATTTTTCAAAAATATTAATATTTACTACATCTTATTGCATATATATCCCAATTTACATTTATCTAACACATTCACAGCAAAAATAAATACTCTAATATTTTATAATTAATATCAATTTCAAATTTTCTTGACTTTATATTTATCTACCATTTTAAAATTCCTCAAATCATTTGAAAATTTTTAACTGCAAAAACCAAAATTTATTGAGTCAAAAGTAGAGCTATATGAATTTAATTTTTATCTACTAGACTCGCAGCAAGACAAGCTTATCGTTCCAATATTAATATAGGGTTATTCGAAGAATACCATAGAATAAATCTCTTTATCCCACTCTTGGATACTTTTATAACTAAAATGAATGAAAGGTTCTTAATTAATATGGCAGCACTTACAAATCTGCAAATATTACTACCGCCGTATCCTTCCGAATCTATTTCAAATCTTATTAAAGAAAAATTAAATACTTCGCAGATTTTTAGTGTGAGGATGTTAAAGTACCCCATGATGCATTAATAGCTGAATGCCAATTATGGTATAAAAGGTTAAATAGTACTGATAAAATTTCAAAAAATGCTGTAGTTACTTTGCAATTTCAAACACATTAAAGACTATTTTCCCATACCTGAAAAGTAGTGTTACTAAATCGATTTGAGCTATTTTTAAAATCCAGAAATGGACTAGAGGTCTGCAACCACTTATTACTTTGAAATTTTTTTACCTCTCCCCACCTCCTCCCCGCTTATAATTTTTTCTAAAGAATATACCCGCATGCCCATTTATCTATAAATTTTGTTTAACCCGCCTGCCTAATATTATGATTTTAATGGCTATTTTGGCTCTTTATTTATTTATTTTAATTAAACATATAATATGCAATATTATGATATAAGATTATAATAAATTCAAGTCTGTTCTGCTCATTTCGTCTGAAAAATATTAAAAATTCACCAGCCCATGCCCGCATATTACTTTTAAAAGATCCCGCCCAATGTTGTAAATATTTTAGAAAACCCGACAACACCTGCAGAAAGTATGGGCCGACGGGCTAAAAACCGATCATTGCAGACCTCTAGTCCAAATTTTATTGCCATCTGTAAGTAAAATTTTCAGGTTTGCGTAATATTTTTCTGGATAATATATTGGGTTAGTCGCTTTATAAATCGACTCAAATTGAGCCGTTTAACAACATTATTAAGAAGAACAACCTCTGAAAATAGATTGGATGGGTGTTATCCCTTCTTAATAAACATAGGGAGTTAAAATCAAGCACTGATGAAATCATTGAAAAATTACTTTGGGCCATCTGATGATTTAAATCATAGTAAGAAGGATAGTGGAGATGAAGGTTGTATAATAGATAATCTTAATGTAGGCAAATATAATCTCAGACAACCATGAAACTTGAATCATATGGAGAAAGAGTTTATACTAATTAATGAACTACATGCCCGGCCATAAGCCCGACACGAGCAAGGTTTAAAATATAAAATATAAACAGTCAAAAAATATTTTTTTTAAGAAATCGGGGTCTGTCCAGGCAATGGTACCTCTGCAGGTATCTGATATTAATACTAATGATATCCAAATAAAATAAGAAGCTAATAAACTAGATATACAAATGATTTAATTCCACAATATTCTTAATTCTCTTTTTCTTCAGATATAATTACAAATTTATATCGTTTTGAGTATTAAAATCTATTTTGATCATAAACTTTGTAGTTATCTCTTCCTCCGACGAAGTGGAGAGGGGGGAGCTCAAAATTCAAAGGAATAATATAATGTAACATTATATCAGAAACTTTATTTAAATTTACAATTATAATAAGTGGAATTAATTGGTAAAAAATTTTTTTAAATATTTGCTTTTTACCCTTTATAGTTCCCGATGTTTTAAAAAAGGAACAACAATTTTCTAAAGAACTAGGACATTTAAGTAAAATGAGATTCACCTATTTACACGCACTGATTAATAAAAAATAAATAAACTTGGGTAAAAATTTGTTAATTTAGTTTTCTTCTTGATGTATCTAGTTTATTTATGTTTACACATTTATTACCTGTCTTACCATCCATCAATATCGTTTATTTACCTGATGCGCCCGAAATATTTTGGGATCCAAAAGAAAAAAAAATGAGGTCGGGGTCCCTACTAAAATTAGGAGTTTTCGGTTACATGGATTTCTATTTTTAACGACAATTGTTAATAAAAAAAATATTTTTGTGTCATAAATTTTTGCGAATTATGGTCAAATATTATCAGATAATAGTAATGATCAGTGGCTTAGTACCTATTATTGTATAACGATAATTTAAATGTCATGCAAAAAAGGCTTCTATATTGACATTTGGTAAGCAATCAATACCCAATCTCTCATATAGTTGAAAGATTGGTGTACAAATCACTCTCGTTGAGCAGTGGCAGTAACGATTTTTTTAGTAAAACCTTATAGTACCTCGTCATACTCTATCGCTTAAGATGGTTCAGTTTAAAATTAAATAATGACAATGATATGGGTACTAATTCAGTGACATTCTAGGATTTTAAATTATAATCAATTTAAACGACATGTTTCTTGTATCATTAGTTATTCAATAAAAATAGATTAAATGTTTAAGGTGTATTTTGTATTAATTTTCCTCTTATTTTTTTAATGACCAAATTTTGCGGGAAGCACGATTACGTTACATAGCGCCAATTAATATGCAGGGTTAGACGCTAAAAAGATACTTAGCTGATAATATTAAAAAAGTATGTTATTTAGAAAATAATTTACCTCATTATTATTAATTATAATTATAACCGCTTATCAAATTTCAACCAAAAATGGAGGTAGAACAACTTATATCAAGCACTTATATTAAATAAAGATTATTTAGAATTAGATTTCGAAGGTAGAAAGATATCCAAATTAAAACAAAACTTAAGATGTATTGATAATTTAGAAAATAACATTCGAGGACAGAGAGGAAGCAAAAAATGTCAGCATTATTTATTAAAAAACATTAAAAAAGAAGATAATAAATAAAATTATTTTTAAAAATTGAGATTTTTTTTTTAATTTATAATTTGGGTATAAGTCTTCAGAAAGTATATTTTAAAAGATTAGCAAAATATAGATATATATTGGAAAGTAAAAATATGTCAAAATTTGAAAATCACGGCTACCTACGAGTAGTATATAGTGAAATTTCCCAAATCCATTTAATCTATTAGACGTAACTTGGCTAAAAATGCCAGATGTTTGGTTCTCGGGAGATGTATATTGATAGTAGTCGATTTTCAGCAGAGTCTCTGATTTAGCATCTACATTTGAGAAGTCGACATGGGGGGACTTATCATTGATCTAAAAAAAATAAATAAGATCACATAAAATTTAGAATCATATAATGTGATCAACTCAGAAAATACTTTAATTAAGTGGTATATTGATATTAATAGTCAGCCAGAGTAAAAAAATAATTTGGTTGTAAAATTTAGTATATATACCTATTAGGGTTGACAATTAACATGATGAATAAATTAATTTAAATCAACAATTTTTATTAGAATAAAAATCACGATTTAAATAAAAATGTATTATTATACCTCATTTTTACTATATTTTACATATAAAGTTTTAATCAAATGTGTCAGGTTTTATAATTATAAATAATTATATGTTTATTAATCGTGAAAAAATTTTTGTATAATAAGCTCCTACATAAAAATTATTTTAATATTAGTTGGATTTAAGAAGAAAAAAAATCTCTATAATTATATCTACCATATTTAATGAGTTAAATTTCAATATTGTTGATTTATAAATTTATATACTCAGATTCAGAATGTATTAAAACTATTATAAATGAGCTTATTTAAGATATAATTTGGTCAATTAGATATTCGTTAACAAAATGCTTATTCAAAAAATTCAACTAGAAAAAAAAAACAGTTTATGCTATAAAATGATGCCATGATATTGCCAACCCTAATATATAACCCCATTTCTTAAAGGTATAAACGGAATTGTATTCCTAACTGCAAACAATCCTCTCGTAGTTTTCTTTAATAACATTCGTGCATTTATGCAATAATTTTGTTTAATGTTAAACGGCGACAAGTCAGCATAGAGTAATTTGCTAATTAACGACTAATTTTTTTAAGACTTTATTCTTAATATATATTGATAGATGGAAAAATGCAATCGCTCCCGATTTCCTGAATATCATACCCCGTAGCACACAATTACAAAATATATGCATAAAAAAACATAAAATGGTTAATATTTTAAATGCATGAATGTATGCTTAAAATGCGTCCCAATTCATATATATGTTTGTAAAATCAAAATGTCCATGCTATTCTTTTGGCTGAGACGAATTATAGTCACAAATAACTGACTCTTTCACTAAAGAAGAACATCGCGATTATATTCAAAATTCGTATTCGGAAAAAAGGGACTTAAAATATAAATTCACAAGATCGGGACTGAACTACCGATCTACTATGATACGAGGTGTTGGTGGGTAGTACTTCGTGGAGTATATTATTGGTGCGAAGATTACACGAAGTTCTAGAGGAATACAATCACTCAAAAATCCCATCCAAGCCTTATGACATATATTATAAAAATCTTCGGACTGGTTGCAATTTAGAATAAGTCTTAAGGTTCTGTTATTTTTTTCAAAATCGTTCATAACAAAAGAATATAAATGTAAATTTTTACAAGTATGTGCTTAATGTTCGCCAAAGAGCCATTATTAGGAGCAGGGATTATGCCCAATATCTCGCACATCAACTCGTATATATCAACGTTGTTTAGCGGAGGTGATTTGTAACCCTTCTTAAAAACCGGTCCGATGGCTATAAATATGGGCCAGCTATCCGGGAAGACATTATCATAACCGTGATTGCCTATATCAAATATTAATAAAATGATGGTTAAACCCTTCTTGATATCAGACAATTTAGCCATGAACTTTTGAACTCAATATAATTTATATTAGTATCTCCATTAAATTTTTTATATAAATTATAAATTATAAATGACTCAAAGGTTAACGGCAAAATTATTTACAATTCATAAGATAGGTATTCTAAACATGCTAGAATATATTTACGGTAAAATCCGACTTTTAAATTTAAAAAAACAGGTTAAAAAATGATTTAAAGTTGAAAAAATAACAATTGACACTAACAATATATACATCTTCTTAAATTATTACATAAGTTCAATTTTTTTTATTAAGTCGCCATTTTATCGGATATCGGCAACTTTAATACTAACGACTAATAGCCGATATTTCAAAAAAGGCAAAAAATCGGTCCGATCTGATATGATCAGACCTGTGCGCCGCCGGCTCACGCCGATATTTTTATTCACGCCGAAACCGCCGATTGAGATCAGCGGCGCGATAGAAAGTATATTAATTATATTTATATATTAAATTATTATTATTTTAATTTGAATACTAACATTAAATCTAATTTATAATTTGTTTCATTCCAGCCCTTATTATTTTGATGTTTTTTAAATATCTTTTTAAAGTATTATTTAATATATAATTTTTTAAAACTTTATTAGAAAGTTAAAACTAAATCAAATTAATAATTTGTTTCATTCCAGCTCTAATTATTTTGTTTTTAAATATCTTTTAAAATATAAACTTAATATACAATTTATTAAATTAATTATGTAAAGCTTTATTTTGAAAGTTAAAACTATATCTAATTTATAATTTGTTTCATTCCAGCCCTAACTATTTTAATGTTTTTAGATATCTTTTTAATGTTTAAAATAAATATGAAATCTAATAGGGCGAAATTATGTTTTGATATCTGCTTAGATTTAATGCCATTTGATTCTATAAACAATAAAGGAATGACAGACTTTCTAAAGGTTTAAATTTTATAAAAATAAATTGTTCAAAAATTAGAAATATAAGATAATCGATTTCTCGTCAGAATTGCCAAATAGGACAACCATTAGTCGGGGTGCACTAGACGATGTTTATTTATCTATAAAGGCGCATGTTATAAATTTAATTGACTCTGGACCAAAATTTTGTTCTAATTTCAAGCGTCGAAATTATATCACATTTAGTATTCATCATTTAGATGAAAATTTTGATTTAAAATATTTTACCCTCAACTAGAAATGTGACTCAAAAGCATAGTGGGGAAACAATATTATCTGAGATTGATAGTATTGAAGAGGAGTTCCATTTAAAAGCCAAAATATTACAAATGGTAACTGATGCTGGGGCCAATGTCAAAAGAAGCGTCAGATTAGGGGATTATGAGCATCATTTATGCTTAGGGCATCCACTTCATAATTTGGTTACAGTTGATGGCATAAAAAAGTTACCAAGATTGATATTTTCATCAAAAAAATTAGAGAAATTATTTCAGCCCTCAGATATCGAGTAGCTGATTTGGAATGTGAAATTGAGGCTAAACATGGTAAATGTCTGCAGCCAATTTATAAGACAGGTAATATCTTGCATATTGATGATTTTGATCCATACCTTGATGACCATTTTGATATGTCTGATGAATCGGATAATAGGAATGGCATTGCACCAACCAATCCAATTAATGCAAAAACTTTAAAATTAAATTGCCCTACCCGCTGGCATAGCATATTAATTATGTTAGAAAGTGTTCGCAGTGTAAACAAAATTCCTATAAATAATGTTCTAAATAAAATAGGAAACCAATCTTTAAAACTCTTTAATAATGTATAGGATATGATAGATGAGCTTTAAGCAGTATTAAATCCATTCAGAGAGTTGGTGGAATTTCTTTCCTCCCAAAAAGGATCTACAATAAACTTACGGTTATTATTTTGCAGTGAAATAGAAGCTCATATACAAATCAATAAATCTGATTGCTCAAATATAATGTGAAAAAAAGCTTGACCATAGGTTTCCGATCACTGAACTTCAAGTTATTTTATATTTTTATTAATAAAATTATATTCTAAACATTAGATATTAGCAACTCTACTTGATCTAAGATTTCAAAATCTCAATATTGTTTCACAATATTTAAGTTCAAATTCTATGACATCATTGCAATTTCTAATACGACATTTAAAACTTTTAGAGCATGATAGAAATGCTCAGCGTGAAATTCAAGTCGAGGTACATCATGCTCTTAAATAGCGAAATTAGCTCGAAAACATTCCCTTTCTATTAACGATTATAACAAAATTACTAATCTTAAACAAGAATGCCATATTTTGCTCAGCCAAAATATTATTCCAGAAGAGGATGTGTTGCTCTTGGGAGAAAAAGCGACTGGAACTTCCTATGTTTGCTAATTTAGCTAGGAAGGTTCTTTGCGTACCTGCAACCAGTACACCCAGCGAAAGAATTTTTTCCATTGCTGGATTAATACTCAATGCTAAAAGGAGTTCTTCATGTACCACAAATCTTGATAAAATACTGTTTATTCATGAATTATAATTTTGCTAAATCTGAATTCTGACTTATATTTTGCCTGCATTTTAAATTTATTTTAATTATAATAAAAATCAATAGAATATTTCTTTATATGTGTAGTTGATATGACTCTGAGTAAAAATAAAAATACAATTCCTTAGTCTATTTCTGAGAATGAGGAAATACATAAATTTAAATTGGAGTGAGACGGGAAATAATTTAAGATCAATTATACTATGTTAGCGATGTGTTAGAAAATATCGCCTACATAAATTATAAAAAATGTAATACATATTAAAAAATATATTGATTTATAAATTAAATTCATTAAAAAATTTTAAATAAATATTGCGCCGCCGAACGCCGATAAAAAAATTTAAAAAAAACCGCCGCTGTTGATTGAGACATCGGCGCACAGGTCTAGATATGATATCCCAAATGATAATTAATAGTTAAATCCTTTCGGCGTAACTAAATTATTTTCGCGCGACAAATTAGTACAATAAAAATTCGAGGTGGTCAAACGATAATTCGGTTAGATCAATTGAGCGTATATTTCAACTCACAAAAAAATGTCAAATCAAAAAATATATGAAAGTTTATAAAAGAAAACCTCATCCCAAAGGGGATAAACAAGTTGAAGCAAGAATAGCTATATAACTATCTTGTTAGTGTGAATATGTACTATCTATTTATTCCTTTTATATAATCGGTAAATGGATTAAATTTACAGATTTAGAAACTCGCTTTTTTCGGCCAGAACCTGCCGTTGTCAAAAAATGTTAAGATCTAGGAACTGCTCAAATTTTAAGAAAAATAAAAGTTTATAGAGTGAAATCTCAAACTCAACATATTTATTTTATTCATTAAGAACCAAATAAAAATCATGGAAAGGGGGGGGGGAGATAATGGTAGACCAAAAAGAAAAAAAAAATCAATGAAAATGATTAAATATTAAAAAATTCAGTGTAAATATTCAAAAATATATTAAGCTAGCTAAGTTTTAAAATATGTGAAAATTAATAAACTAAATAGTTAAACATAAAAAAGTATTGAATAATTGTCGAAACTAATATAATAAATTTAAAATATATAGTGATTATATTCTTTGTATATAAAAAAATTGAAACCAGTACATAACCAACCAAATTTTATTTATTTTTAAAAAAGGTCATACAAAAATTGTGTAATAAAGATCATACTTTTATAAAGAATGTTAATAATTATTTTGAATTTGAAGATTAGTGTAAGCTCAAAAAAATGGAAATCACCCAAAATGTTTCTATTTTTAAATATCAGAGAATAAATATATATAATATTTTATTTCACTTAATAAAATGAGATGATAATTATCTTAAATACAATATTCAATATAAATGTGATCAAGAAATCATTATATTGAATTATCTAATTTTCATATAAAATAATAATATTAATTTAAAAATTAAAATATAGGAAAGAATGATTTAAAAAAACAAAATTAAGTGGAGAACTAGAAAAATATAATCTTAAAATTATTCAAAGTGAATATTGATTTTTTTTTACAAAAATATAAAAAGGCATCTATATTTTTGAGTCAAAATAAAGGAAATAAAAAAAGGTACAAGATACTTTTGAAAATATAATATCTAATTAAAAATGCCAAAAAGAACAAAGTACAAGATAAGAATCTTTATCATAGATACAAATATTGATGGTGCAGCCCAACTTTGAAAAAGTACCTAATCTGATATCCTTATATATTAATAATTTTTTGGTATACTTTTTATTTTAAAAATATAATACAATTTCTGATCTTATTTTTTAGTTTTCAAACAAAAGGTACAATAGAAGCAAGAGTAAAAATTAATCATTTAAATTATTTTCCTAAATAATAGTGTATCTTTAATTTATTTTTTAAAGAACCTATGTATTATAAAGATGCTTGCTATATATCAAGAGAAGATAAAAATTATTGATGATTGGCCCAAGTGGCCACCAAATGGGAGTGAACTTTAAGGCAGCAATGATTTTTTTAGAGCAAATGCCAAGCAAAAGTCAAAAGGGGGTATGGTAAAACTACTCAAAAACTATTAGGTTCATATAGATGACAGTCAAATTATTTTTGTCCCACTAAAAAAAATAAAGGTGATGTCACTAGTGGTTAATGAAAACTGCTATGCAGGGTTTAAATTATCATAAATGATAAACTTTACCCTTGAAGAATAATTCCAGATCGGTTTTAGTTCTTACCAAATTCCAACCAGGCTGTCCTAGTAGAATCAAATCCCCTATTCTTCCATTGTTTTTATATCGAAATTTTAGGGGTATGTCCTTTTTCTTGTAAATTAGCATTTGAGGAACATTAGCTTTATATAGTTTGTTGTAGAGCATATCTATTTTTTGTGCTATTTATTAATAAAATATTTAAATTATATTGCTATTTTTTTTACTATTATTCGAAAAAATATTCCACACTGGTGATGACCCACTAACAATATAATCTTTTAAATTAAAATAATCAGAAAGAATAACTGATTTATTAAATGAGGTATTTGTCATTCCATGATCACTAGTTATAATAATATTTAATAAATCATTTAGTTTAAGTTTAATCATTTGAGCAATCAGATATCCCAAACTTCGATCCAAATCTTTGATCACATTAAATACTTCCTGTGATTTTGGGCCAAACATGTGACCAGCTTCATCTGGTTGATTATGGTAAAGTATCCCTAGGTTTATATTATCTTTTTGAGTAGAAAACGCAGATAAAATCATATCAAATTTTTGGTCCAAGGTAATCTTACTATATTTTGTGTAAAATGAAGGATAGATACCTTTGATTTTTACATCACATCCAGGCCACATAATAACATTACTTTTGTGAAAACATGTGGAATTATTGGTTGTTATAAAATTTTGATTTGTTACCCATATAGGCTCCCCACCAGCATCCCACCATTCTGTCAATGTGTTTCCCATTTTGAATACTTCCTTTAATTTGGGGTCGTACATATTATTATGAACTATACCATGAATTTCCTCATATTGTCCTGAAACAATTGAAAAATGGTTTGGAAATGTTTTTGTTGCAAATAAATTTTGAAGATATTCTGCCTTGACACCATTTTCAATTATATGCTTAAAGTTAGGGAAATTATCGAGCCCAAATATATCTAGGTAATTCCACATAAACCCATCAAGTGATATTAATAACATTAAGCTACAATTAAACATTAAAAAGAATTGTGGATAATACACGTCCGACGGGTTTATAATTTGTCATGAATCATCAACACTGTTAGAAAAGTATATTAAAGGAGGCAAAGGAGTATGTTGGGAAAAAATAGCTTAAAGTATGAGAAAACCCAAAATAAGGTAATTAATTGAAGAATTTAATCTTGCATAACGTTCTTAAGTTTTTTAAGAGAACATTTTCCACCATAACGGAAATGCCAGGTTCAATGTGGTAGTCCTGCAATTTCTGCTAGGAACACCGTGTTTAAAAATAGCAGGGACACAATTTTTGCTTTTCCAAGTATTTTTTTAGTAGTTTATATCAAAAATTTCAAATAAAATACATTACATTTATATTATAATTTAATAGCTATTTAGAAAGTTATAAAAATTAAAACATATTACAAAAACATATATATAGCATTAAAAAATGACATATTTTTTTGTGTGCATTTCATAATTATATAAATAGGTCAAAAAAAGTGAAAATAAATTACTATTTCGTCATATCAATTTTTTTAAAATATTTTTAATAATATTAACTCCACGCTTCCTTGGTTAAAATTATTAATTAAACAAAGTAAAAATAAACTACAATATTCCTCACAAAATTTTTTCAATTTTTAATAATGTTATCTACATGTTTCCGGCCGCATTCATAGTGGGATCCGAACCGACACGATTTAACAGCTGATTGATTTTTAAAATCTGTTTATGAGATCAATTTTTTTTTAATAATAATTATTTTATTTTTAATTCTATACATGATAATAACCTAATAAATATTGGTTTTAATAAAGAAAAATTGATTCTCATAAACCGATTTAAAAATCGATCAGCTGTTAAATCGTGTCGGATCGGATCCCACCATGAATGCGGCCTTAATTAGTTATCGTTTTTAGACCTGTAAAATCGGAACACAAAAAAAGGTAAATAATACTACAATATTCACCATGGTGAGATTTATTTAATATTTTTAATAATATTAACTGCACGCTCTTGATAGCTATAGTTTGCAAATCTGTGACTTGTTAGCCACTTTTTATTAATAGAGCATAATTCACTGATTGAGATAAGCGTCTACATAAACGAAAGGGGGGGGGGTTAGCAACAGTTTGTATCCATATTTTTGAGGGGGTGTATAGGGTAGGCGCCTTTAAGGAGGGCAGGATAAATTTATTGGGGATTTATATATTACATCTTTAGATGAAAATAGGCAAAATATATATTATAAAAATTAATACTTTATAGACCTATTATATTAAATAATATTGCTATCGACAAAATCTATATTTCATAATATCATAAACATTATTTTCCAAATAAAATTTTTTGTTATTTAAAAGGATTTGATTTTCTTAGAAAACTTATAATCATGCCAACAATAAACTATATTAATGCATTCATTATAAATATAGGGGTTTTTAATTGAATTCATGTTATAAAAAATAACTTTTATATTCCCAATATTTTAATAGTTGGTAGTAGAGCTAAAATAATTTTAATTTTAATAATATTTAACTACCGAAGGTGGCTAAGATTTTTTATGGGGGGGGGGGGGGGAGTAAGCATAAGTTTTTAAAGGGGTTTGCATACAGTAAAAATCTTATCATGTAGAGGTTTGACTGAGAAAGTAGACGGACTCAAGTATCGTGGTATAAAATTTAAAACTCTTTCTAATCGTAGGATCCAACCTCATCCCATTTATTACGAGGTCCACATCGGGCTTCAGTTGGAAACAAATTCTTTTAATTTGCTTAACCTCATAACAACAGTGAGAGCTATCCTTTTCTAAATATGCCATGGCAGAATTTATTAGTATCATTAATTATTAAAATTATAGGAATTGGCATCTAACCTATTTTGTATATTGTCTATTAAGATATTATTCTTGTTGATACTAGAGCACCTTTAGGCTTCTTGAGATAGATTATTTTATGTCCACTTTTTGTAATTTTGCTGGAGAGAAATTTTAAAAATAAAGTCTCTATGTTTTCAATATGTTAGTCAACTTATATTGGCTATAATTTATATAAATATTTTGTTTTTTGTGTAAAATAATCTAATTACATAAAATAAATTTATCTAAAAATCATTTTGACAAAAAGCGAAAATTATCTAATTTTAATATTTATAAAAGAGATTTATGGTTTACCAGATCCTTAAACGATTTAAAACACGAATCATTCGCTTTATTGATTTCCTAGTATTAGGAAAGGGATTGTTCTTATCTGAGACAGATTGAATAATTCAAACAGAATATCAAGCTTTGAATATTTTTTTTTTAAATATTTTATTTTCAAGTCCAATGGAGAAAAAATATTTTACTATAGAAATCGATCTAATCTTTTTTATTTAGGCCAAAATTAAGAAATTATAAATTCTGAAAAATAATAAACAATTTTTAAAGATATTTATAAAAAAATTAAGAAAACAAAAGTTTTATGGAGGATAATGAATATGAGTCTAACATTCTTGAGTTTAAATGTTTAACACACGAAAACAAATTTTTACAATCAAATAAATTTTTTATTTTATTTTAAAAATATATTATTTTTTAATGAAGGGATTAATAAACTGTATAATAAAAATTTTTATAATATATAAATCCGATTAGTAATTGTGAGTATTCTTTGTCGAATTTTGACCCAATTTTATCCCAAACGATGACCTCCGAATCTTCCGTGGCCATGAAACCCTCTATATCCATCACCATATGCTCCATAACCTCCACCAAATCGTAGACTCACGAAATCCGCCATATCCTCCTCTGAATGGAAAGGCTATTGAACAACTACTAGAGAAAGCTTTATATTTAAATAAAATAATTATATATTGCTAGTAATATGAAAGAATATATAATCGTCTTATTATTTAAGAAAAAAGGATATTTAAATTTGACAATATATGGAGTTTAATGTAAAAATGATATACCAGGAAAAATTATTTAATTTATAAAAATATTATCGCTAATAAAATTATCAATATATTTTTGGTGTGAAAAATTATAAATATATTAACTTCCCCTTTTTAATGCACTAAATTAAATGTTTAAATAAAAAAATTAAACTAATTGTTTTTTAATGTTGTTAATTAATCGAATAAAATCAAGCGGTTCGGGTATTAATTATAGGATTTAATAGTAAAAAAAAATTATCTTAACTCACGAATATTATTAAAGATAAATCAGGCTAAATTTTTTATACAACTAAATTCTCCAAACTCGTCTACTTAATAAAACTAGCTTGATTTATAATATATAAAATAGTTTATATAAAATGCTTACTAATATCGCCAATAGAAATATGTAATTTTTGAACATTTTATTTTAGTATATTATCTTTAATTAGATTTCTTCAAATAAATTTATTAATTTAATGTTTAGATAGAAATAAAATTATTATTGTGAATATCAACTTTTCGACAGAGACTTAAAGAAGAGATTTATCAAGATTAATTTTTATGAGTATACAAAAACTGGATTAAACCATAGGTTTATTATTTTTATAATACAATAATAAAGAGAAAAGTGATTCATATTTAATTTGAAGAAAATATTAAAATTTTTGGCGAGGTGTCTTAATGGAATAAGTTAAATTTGGGGGGAGAAGTAATATGAGGAGCCTTCTACATGTTTGTAGGTAATCATTTTCATGTTCTCTTACCGGTGACATAACTATGGGGAGACGAATGCGAAAATGGTTTTTCCATTTAAAATCTCCATCCCATGGGCGTAAACAATGGGAGCAAGGGAGATACCCCTCCCCCCCAATCGTGAAATTTGCCTGTTCTAGTAAATACCATTTTAAGCTAATAAAAAATTTCCCCCTACACACTTCATATTCCCCCCAAACATTTATACAATATATCATTATAAGGATGTATTTGAAAGAAAAATTAGTAAAAGTTAATAACTTTTTAAAATAACCACTTATAATTCAAAACTTATTTTAAAAAATAGTGAAAATAATTTTTATATAAATCTATTATAAGCAAAGCGTTACAAAAAGTGGACCTAAGTACCTCCAATAAAATTTATGGGGAATATTATTTATCTAATAGTGTTTTCTCCTTTCCCCATAAAATCCTGGATACGCCACTGCCTCATCCTATGATAAAAAACAAATATTTTTTTTAGAAATTTATTTGATATTTAAATTTAAGTTGGGGATCGATTTTCAAGGTTTGGCTTGATAGGTGCGACCCTTTTTTAATGTAACAGAGCATCAAAAGCCACATATTGATACTCAAGGATTAAAATGGAACCTAATCCGGACCGTTAAAGCCTTCATTAACTATCATTATTTTTCAAAACCTCATCTGTCAAAAAAAAATTGTTATCTGAACCTGAACCGAACCTCCAAAAAGATCTGTTATATAGGGTTACAAGGGTGGGAAGGGGAATGTTGGGGGGGGGGGGTTTGTTATCAGTTTAAATTATTTTTACGAAAACAGGCAAAATTTCTAAAAGAAAATCCCCCCCCCCCCATTACGTCTCTAATTTTTGAATTTTATCAATATATTTTGAGATTTCATCTTCATAAATATAATTTTAGATGAAGAAAAAGGAAAACAATTTTTTTTTTAATTAAAATAATATATAGAAAACCGAAATTTGTCTTTATTTATTTTATTTTCTAAATTAATTTTGAATTTATCTGTAATAAAATAATATTTTTTTTAAATATTAAATTGACTTAAGATAAATATTTACGATATTTTAAAGTACCAGTATAATAAATTATAAAATTGATGCCATACATTGAACTAATTGTAACTTGGGAATTTATTTTCTATTGTGTACTGACACCAGTGACGATGTGCATTGGAATTTTGGGGGGATTTTTTACCCTTCTTGCTCTACCAAAGTGGGGAACTGATACAAGAAGCATACGCAACCATGGTAAACTTCGAGCTTTTGTGATCATCAAATACTACATCAAATTAATCGCTTACATGAATATACTTGGTTGCTTCTCTTGCATTCCCTGGCCTATAATGTATTATTATGGCTTGTGGTGGCATGAGAAGAGCACATATCTTCCCTATACTTACAACTTTTACTACGTCTTTTTCATAGCAAAAATAATATTCCCTTTGAGATATTTTTTTATAAGAACGGGTGATATAATGACTGTATTGTTAAGCGCCGACAATTACCTAGCGTTCTGCTTTCCTATCATTTATCATACTTCACTCGGTTACAATATTAAAACGGCAAAACTTTTAACCATTTTGGTCATCGTCACTAATATACTCATGCTAGTGCCTTTATCATGTTGGTACTTCGTCAACAAAATAAATTTATCACAAATCTTATCTTCAGCTAACTCAACTGTTATTCATTTTCAGTACGATAATAACGCCACGGAAGGTATGGTTCAATATGTTGATAATTTTAATCTTCGCGACAAGGATAAGTGGATATTTGAAATGGTCCAAAACCCCAATAACGGTAACTCACCCGCTTTCTTACTTTATAGCATCCTACGTGAATTTTTTCTGACATTCATGCCCATAATTATTTTGCTACACTTTTATGTATCGATAAGCTTGGCGTTGAAAAGACAAAAAAATAATAGGAGGTTTGGTTTCCAAAATACATCGAAATTTAACATGCCTTCATCTATAACGAGACTCACTTGGACTGTGCTTATTCTCCTAATTAATTTTCTCTTACTATCCATTCCCGTTGCTGTTATCAATATGATCTACTATCGTTATCAATGTTATCTAGAAAAATGCTCCTTTCGAAATTTAATAGCACTCGTAAATTACCTGGAGGTCATCAAAATTTGTATCAATTTTTACATATATTTCTTCACGAATATCAAATTTAGACATGCCTTTTATGAATCCCTATCTTGGTCAGGAAGATCAAAAATTTACCCTACCAACTAAGAACAGTCCGGATAATTTAACATTTCAAAGCCTATTTTCAACTTACACTAACATAAAATTATATCATATTTTTTGATAAAAAATAAATTTCAATAATCGGAGAGTTGGGGGGGGGGGGTATGGGGGGGGGGGAATGAGATGAGGTCAGATCTTTTTTTTGTTTAAAAATTATCGAAATCCCAAATTAAAATATATTTATAATTATAACGATTGGCATTTTTTATTTATTTAAATTAAATATTAATCAATTACACTGTATAAAATATAATTTGTAATGTTTTTTAGTTGGAAGGGGGGAGGGGGAAGGCATATTAATTAAAAAAAATTATAGTTATAAATAATTTATAAAAATTAACGAAGAATATAAAGATATATTTAACCCATTTAAATTTTCTTATTACATATATTATACTAAATGCTAATGTCATTTATTTTAAATTAAAAATATATATAGAAATAAAATTAATATTAAAATTAACATATCTAATATAAAATAAAACAATATTATATAAAAACGGAGGTAGGACTAGAAATTTCAAACAATTTATTAAAAATTTTTTTTTTTACTTATAAGATAACCTTTTGTATTAATATTATATTTATAATTGTAGAAAAAAAAAATTATTTGTATAAAATAAACAAATCCAAAATTAAAAAAAATTTAAATATAGCATAAAAAGAGAAGTTCTTCGGAAAGAAGCTATTAAAATTTTTATATATAAAATGTAGTAGATATTAGATATTGTATTATTTATTATACCGAAAATAAAGGTTATAGACGCCTAGTTTCCCTAAAAATTATAAATCTGCAAAACTCGGTTAGTTTCAGGCTTTAAAAAATTCTGCACAAGTTTTTCGACCCGTTAAATTTTTTGCCAAGCACGGCCCGTTTTAATTTTTCAAAAATTTCGCACTTTTAATTTATAAAATTGGATTATATTGTATTTCAAAATATTTAAGGCCGATCCAGCCCGAAGTTTTTCTTAAAATTAACTGTAAATATTATCAAATTTGCTAAAAGAAAAGCATATAAAATATTTATGTTATATAGATTAGAAAATAGCTATGGTTCAATTTGCCTCTTTTTAGAGAAAAAGGAGTCCCTCACCCTTGATGATATAGGGTTTCCTTTAAAAATTATATTTAATGATTATATATATGCCGTTTATATATATTCTTTATGATTAATTTATTCAAGAGATTATCAGCTTTGCTCTGTAGAATCAGATCATCAGCAAATATTTATAAGCTGCAAATCATTTATAGGAAGCGAATTTAATTTTTAAGGTTTAATTTTGATGGGCGACTAGTCCTGCAATTTTACCAAATTTTTAATGGCAATGTTTTGTAACAAAAAAAATATACATAATAAAAACAAAGTAATGATAAACATAAATAAATAGTGTCTTGCGTCGATGATACAAATAAGCCAACCTACTAAACTGATCCATTAAGCTCACCCAATGAGTTGGTTAATATAGCTCATTGGGTTGACTCAGATCCGAATTGTTATACTAACTTCAAAGTCGATCTAATTTAAGGCTAAATCGCTGCTGATCTACAACACTAGTACTAAAAAGAAAATTTATCCTTTTTACTGCTTATAAAATAGTAGTTGATCTTATTATGTTATCAATGGCTTCCCCGGGAATATCTAAAAATGCAAGTGGCTAGACTTTGTGGTTAGACGAGTTAAGACGACATAAAAGTTTTTAGTATCAAAATGAGTTCTGTTGAACTCTGCCACTATAATTTAATTTAGAAGGTAACCTGTAAGTTTTTTTTATATTTTTACTAAAATATTTTAGCCAAGTAAACTGCTTTTGGTATTCAAAATTTTTAAGAACTCAGGTCATAAAAAGAAGTTAGCCCTTATTTATTATTTTTCAGGAAAATAAAAAAAAAAAATTTTTTTAATACTATTTTCTTATGAACTAAGTTAATTTTTGATATTAAAAATGGGTTGCGACTGTGTTCTACCCTTTAGATATAATAAAAGGAGCTGATCCTAACATTATCTTTTACTCCGCAAAAAATATAAACACATTTAATGACTCTATTTAGTTATTGAGTTTAGTTCAGTGGCGTATCCAGGATTTTCTTATGCAGGGGGGGGGAGAATTTATGGGGGATACGCCCCCAAACCCCCCCTTATCTGGCCTTCGTCCAGCTTTTACCTGGCCTTCGGCCTCTTATGTTGTAGTTATTCTATTAAATTATTCATAATTTAATAATAATTATATTTCTATTTTTCATTAATTGTTATGGATATTACAATCCTATTTTTTATTACTTTTAGTTAGGTATATTATATTTAATAAAGTTTTTTTTAAATGTAAAGTTGAAATAAAGTTTAATGTCATTTTTTTTTATAAAATTTGCTTTAAAAACTAGCCTCAGCTTAAATTATCATACAATATAAGTAGAATATAATTTTTTTATTGGAAATACTAATAGTAGTGTGTATAAAATATTGACTAGAAAATAATTTAAAAAACAAATTTTTATTAACTTCTTGTCAAATACAATATTATACAAAAATTTTTATTAAATACTATAATTATAATGTGATTTTAAATTTTTTCTTGGGAATGTTGCCAATTCATCAAGAATTTCGTTTGTCGTTGAAACCAAATCTCTGTGGATATTTAACAGAGCTAACCCATTTAGCCGAAATTCAGAAGTAGTACTTCGTAAATATGTTTCCAACCATCTCAAGTTGGAAAAAGTTTTTTCATTCTTACATGTTGTATAGGACATGCAAGAATATAAAACAACTTCAAAATATTAGGAAATTGAGCCAAGGTTTCTTTACACCGATTGAGCGCATCAATAGCATGCTCAGGTAAAATAGCTAAACGTAGTAAATATTTATACCACAATTCGAATTCACTGATTAAATTTATTTCAGTATAAATATCATAGGAATAAAATTTTGCTAAAAATTTTATTTTACCTATAGTGGCATTATAAAACGAAGAGGGATCTTTGGGTAATAAAACTTGAAGATTGCTAAAGACTTGTTTTTTTATCTAAAAACCGTACTTTTATTTGCGTTAAATATCTAAGAATGGGATGAAAATGGATATTTTATAATATTCTTCACTTGAGCCATTATATATTTTACAGTGCTAGACGAGGTTTAATTAGAGTTATATCACAACAGGCGCGTAACCAATGGGGGGGAAAGGGGGAAATTTCAAATTTGAATATTTTCATAAATATCATTTTAAGCTAATAAAAATTTTACCCCCCTCCCCCCCCCTCCCTTCCACCAATCAAAATTTTACAAATATTTGAATATCAATTTTCCAACATATTATTCAAAAATATTAATAAAATGGAAAAATATTTAGTCAAAGAGATTGAAATCAAACGATAATTTATAAATAAGGCTGAGCATGAAAAAAGTAATGTGTCGTCAGCAGCGATATCATAATTGAATTCAATTGATCAATCAGAGTTTATCATTGCTGCTAGTTGCATCAATAAATTATTTTAGCTCACTACTTTGTAGAAATTTACAAAAACCAAATTTAGATTTGGTTCAGGTTATTGATTTGGCGGAAAATATACATGAACAGGTAGATACAATAAGAATGAATGTAGATAAATATTTTCATAATATTTATCTAGACGTTGAATCGAAGGCTAAATTTTATGATATAACACTAATTAAACCTCGTCTAGCACCTAGGCCATTATTGAGATGTAAATAAATATTGGCTCAACTGAAGAATATTATAAAAAAAATTTATTTTCATCCCATTCTTAGATACTTTTTCATCGCAAATAAAAGTACGGGTTTTAGATAAAAAATAAGTCTTTAGCAATCTTCAAGTTTTATTACCCAAAGATCCTTCTTCATTTTCTAATGGCACTATTGGTATAATTAAATATTTAGAAAAATTTTATTCCTATGAGATTGATACTGAAATAAATTTAATCAGTGAATTCGAATTGTGGTATAAATATTTATACGTTTAGCTATTTTTGCTATTGATGCGCTCAATCGGTGTAAAGAAACCTTAGCTCAATTTCCTAATATTTCGAAGTTGTTTTATATTCTTGCATGTTTGCCTATTACAACATGTACGAATGAAAGGATTTCCAACTTGAGTGAATCTAGGCTAAATGGGTTAGCTCTGTTAAATATACACAGAGATTTGGTTCCAACGACAAACGAAATAATTAAAAATCTTGTATTTGATAAAAAGTTAAAAAAACTTGTTAATTTAATTATTTTCTAGTCAATATTTTAAACACACTACTATTAGTATTTTCAATAAAAAAATTATATTCTACTCATATTGTATGAGAATTTAAGCTGAGGCTAGTTTTTAAAGCAAATTTTATAAAAAAAATGACATTACACTTTATTTCAACTTTACATTTAAAAAAACTTTATTAAATATAATATACCTAACTTGAAATAATAAAAAAGAGGCTTGTAATATCCTATCCATAAGCACGAATTAGTAAATAATAGTTAAAAATAGAAATATAATTATTATTAAATTATCAATAATTTTATAGAATAGCTAAATAAGACCCGGCCGAAGGCCGGGGAAAAGCTGGCCGAAGGCCAGGTAAAAGGAATTTGGGGGCGAAGCCCCCAAAAATTTCCCCCCCCCCCTATAAGAAAATCCTGGATACGCCACTGTATCACAAAATTCCTTCAATTCAACTTCTAGATAAATATTATGAAAATATTCATCTACATTCATTCTTATCTACCTGTTCATATATATTTTCCGCCAAAGCAATAACCTGTACCAAATCTAAATTTGGTTTTTGTAAATTTCTACAATGTAGTGAGCTATAGGAAACTAATTTATTGGTGCAACTAACAGCAATGATAAACTCTGATTGATCAATTGAATTCAATAATGATATCGCTTCTTACGACACATTATTTTTTTTCATGCTCAGCCTTTTATATTTCTATTTCTTCTGTTCTACAAAATGGAAGTAAAAATGAAAAATATTTTAATAAATTA